TAACCTGTTCTGGGCCAACAGTTGCATTTCTTCGTGTCTTACCTCCTGCACATTTTACCTCCTTTAATCTCTCCCGCACTTTTCCACTTCTTTTCATGCTCTCTACCTGGTGCTCTCATTAGCCATTCTCTCCTGAAGTAGTGCTGTCAACTTCTTCAACAGTTTCCAGTTTTCCCCTGTTCCTCCCACTGTAGCCAGTCTTCTCCATTACACAGATCTGATCCCTTCTCTCCTACTGCCCTTAAGATAGACCCAGACCCTTAAGGTAGGACACAGTGTTGTAAGTGGTCAGTCTTTCCGTAATCTGACCTCAACAGACGCTTCTGGGACTCCCACACCTCTGAATTTGAACCACCAGGCTTGAATCTTTGACCCGAGAGAAATCAGCAAGTTAAAGTTACACATTCATTGTCTCACACTATGTACAAAAATTAAAATGGATCAAAAATCTATGTGTGGCCAGCGCCACGGCTCACTAGGCTAATCCTCTACTTGCGGTGCTGGCACCCCGGGTTCTAGTCCTGGTCGGGGGCGCCGGATTCTGTCCCGGTTGCCCCTCTTCCAGGCCAGCTCTCTGCTGTGGCCCGGGAGCGCAGTGGAGGATGGCCCAAGTGCTTGCGCCATGTACCTGCATGGGAGACCAGGAGGAAGCACCTGGCTCCTGGCTTTTGATCGGTGCAGCGTGCTGGACGTAGCGGCCATTTAGGGGGTGAACCAACAGAAGGAAGACCTTCCTCTATGTCTCTCTCACTGTCTAACACTGCCTGTCAAAAAAAAAAATATGTGTAAAAGCTGAAACTGTAAGAATTGTAGAAGAAAGCATAATCAATCTTTGTGATGATGGGTTAAGCAGTGGTTTCTTAGACATATGAGCAAATATATATCATATATATTTTACTCTCATGTACATATAATATCATTAAAATATGCATGTGTTCCAAAGAACACCATCAAGAAAGTGAAATCTCATAATGGAAAAGTGTATTTGCAGTTCACACATCTGATAAGGGACTAGTATCAAGAATATCTAAAAAAACTTATAATTTGAGAATAAACCTAAGAGTAACCTGATCTTAAAGTGACAAAAGTTTTGAATAGGCATTCCTACAAAGAAGATTACAAATGGCCTCTAAGCATCTGAAAAGATGCTCAACAGCATTAGTTACTAGGGCAATGCACATCAAAATTAGAGTGTGATACCACTTCACACTCCAAAGGATGGCTAGAATGAATAAGTCAAATGGTAAGTATTGATGGGAAATGAATGCTCATACATTGCTGGTGGGAATGTAAAATGGTGCAACTACTGCAAAAAAGCTTGGCAGTTCCTCTAGTTAAAATTACCATACAACTCAGCAGTCCCACTGCTCTATGTAAAAGTATACCTAAGGGCCGGCACTGTTGCATAGCAGATAAAGCCGCAGCCACCTGCAGTGCCAGCATCCCATATGGGCACCGGTTCAAGTCCCTGTTGCTCCACTTCCGATCCAGCTCTCTGCTGTGGCCTGGGAAAGCAGTAGAAGATGACCCAAGTCCTTGGGTCCCTGCACTCACATGGGAGACCTGGAGGAAGCTCCTGGCTCCTGGCTCCAGATGGGTGCAGTTCCAACTGTTGTGGCCATCTGGGGAGTGAACCAGCAGATGAAGACACCGCTCCCCCGCCTCTCCTTCTTTCTCTGAGTAACCCTGACTTTCAAATAAAATAAATAAATCTTTTTTAAAAAAATTATATCCAAAAAAAATAAAGACATGTTCACCAAATGTGTGTAAATAATCGCAGCAGTACTGTCTTTAACAGCTAAAAACGGGAGCTGGGGCTATGGCACAGCAGGTTAAGCTGCTGTCCTGCAGTGCTGGCACACACATGGGCACAAGTTCGAGTCCTGGCTGCTTCACTTCCAATCAGCTCTCTGCTAATGTGCTTGGAAAGCAGCGAATGATGGCCCAGGGGCTTGGGCCCCTGCACCCACATGGGAGATCTGGATGAAGCTCCTAGCTCCTAGCTCTGGCCTGGCCCAGCTCTGGCCATTGTAGCCATTTGGGGAATGAACGAGTGGATGGAAGATCTCTGTAATTCTGACTTTCAAATATTAAAATAAATAAATTGCCAACTGATAACATCATCTATGTCATATCTGTACGATGGAACATTATTTGGCCATAAAAAGGGATGAAGGATTCATACTACAATGTGGATGAACTTTGAAACACTGTGCTTAGCAAAGCCAGATGCAAAAGATTGTGTACAGTAGGACTCAATTAAAGTATCTGGAAATGTGAACCCACAGAGAGAAAGGTGAGTAGTTACCAGGTGTTAAAGGGAATGGAGAGTGGGAAGTGACTCTGGGTATGGAGTTTCTTTCAGGAAGATGGAAACTTTCTAAAGTTAGATAGTGGTGATAGTTGTACAACTTTGAGTATTCTAAAACCCTCACTTTAAAGGGGTGAATTTATGGCATGTGCATGACAGTTCAATAGCATTGTGACTGAGACAGTTATACCATCCAGCTGTGCCTTTCTCCCAACTGAAATCACAATTAAGCTTTGAATGGAGTCTTCAATGAAAAAAATTGGTAGGATCTAAAGTTGCACATAGAATGCAATAAATAAATATTTCATGAAAACAATAACCCAGTACAATTCTCGGATTCCGGCCAACTCTTTTTTTCTTTTCTTTTTTTTTTTTAAGATTTTTTATTTATTTAAAAGAGCAAGATAGAGACAGAGAGGTCTTCCATCCACTGGTTTACTCCCCAGTGACCGCAACAGCCAGAGCTGAGCTGATCTGAAGCCAGGAGCCAGGAGCTTCTTCAGGGTCTCCCACGTGGGCCATCCTACGCTGCTTCCCCAGGAGCATTATTAGCAGAGAGCTGGATCAGAAGTGGAGCAGCCGGAACTTGAACCGGCGTCCATATGGAATTCTGGTGCTGCAGGCCAGGGCCTTAACCCACTGTGCCACAGTGCCAGCCTCTCCAGCCAGCCAGTTCTTTATAGTCTTGCTCCAAAGGCAAGAAAGGAAAAGCAAGACCTTTTGGAAAAGGACTTTAATTGGTTTTGTGCTTCACCACTAAACCTTTGAGCATAGGATTTTTAAACAAATTCCCTGGATAATTCCGAGTGGTGGCCACATTTGGGAACCACAGAATTAGTTTCTGTACCGAATCATTCCTAATCCTGGCCTCCTGTCACACCTCACACCTGAAACTGCATCGCTGGAGTCACAAAGGGCGCTCTGGTTGCCAGACCAGTAACCTGCCTTCTGCAAGGTGTCGCCTCGCTTGACCTCTGCACGGCACTGACTGGACTCTCTTCCTCCCTGGAACTCCCACTCTGGTTCATAACCAGGGTCTTTGCTAGTTCTTCTCTGCTTTCGTTCCAGCTGCCTCATCAAATCCTTAAGCGTACAGTTCATCCAGGATTCTGGACTTGGACTTCTATGAGCTTGGAAGCTCTCACCCTTTCCTGTGGTTAAACTACCACCATGCACTAGTAGCTCCAAACAACTCCTCCAGTCCAGACCCGTCTCCTGAGTTCCAAGCTCGTATTCCAGCTGCCTGTTAAGCAAATGGAGATCCCATGGTGCTTTAAACCCCACCAAATTTGTCCACCATTTTTGACATCTGTTAAGGGTGATATGGCCCACCAGACCTACCTCTAGAGTCAAATCCTTGATACTGCTGTTGATACCTCTGTCTCCCTGCGTGTCTCATCACTCAACTCTGTTCACTCTCCAGGTGTATTCTCCAGAGCTAAGCGACAATTTCATTTTCTTTGTTTCTCTTCATCTTCCCTTTCCTTCTGACAGACCTTGGTTATTATAGTTTCTCTTATCCAACCGCCGACCGACCCCAATCAGAAATCTCTTAAAAAATAAAACGGAACATGTCATCCCATGTGGCTAAAAGCAATCTCAAGCTTTTTTTGAGTCTGACTTTCCCAGGTAATGAAACTCTGATTCTGTTTCACTTCTGCCTCTGCTCCCTCCCTCCACATCTCCCTGTGTTTTGACCACACTAAACTCCCCATTGCCGGGACACGCAGGCCAACGACTAGTAAGTTTTAGGTACATTCCGTTCTGTTCAGTAGGTTAAATGTAACCACGTGTAAATATCTCTATACTTCCAATGTGCATGATTCCATAGCCTAGGATAGAGCTCAAGCCTAATTTATGCTGTTTGATTTCATACATTTCAGGGTTAAAGAGCAAGGTTAACTTAATGTTCATGATGGAACTTACCCAGTTATGAGTCCTACTTTAGATCATGCTATCCTTCTAAACCAAAATGTGCTTTATACTTTGATGTCTTTAAAAAATATGATGTACAGGGGCCGGTGCTGTGGCATAGCAGGTAAAGTCGCCACCTGCAGTGCCAGCATTCCATATGGGTGCCAGTTCGAGTCCTGGCTGCTCCACTTCTGATCCAGATATCTGCTATGGCCTGGGAAAGCAGTAGAAGATGCCCCAAGTCCTTGGGCCCCTGCACCCACGTGGGAGACTCAGAAGAAGCTCCTGGCTCCTGGCTTCAGAGAGGCGCAGCTCCAGTCATTGTGGCCAATTGGGGAGTGAACCAGCAGATGGAAGACTTCTCTCTGCCTCTCCTCTCTCTCTGTGTAACTCCGACTTTCAAATAAATAAATCTTAAAAAAATATGATGTGCATTCTGGGGGAAAGTGTCCTTGGCCACAGGGAAAATATATTCTCTTAGACCAGGGAATAAAGCAACCTCTGAAAACAGGATGATTTGCGTGTACGGAAGGCAGGTTCCACCTTCTTGCGCTTCTCTGAGGAGAGAGGCTGACCCTCTGCTGGATGTGACAGGCTGGCTTTCTGTAGTCAGAGTGGTGGATTAATGATCTCAGCAAAAAGCTGGCATGTTCAAGAGATTTAATTTTTTTATGTAACAGTTTTAGCCAAAGCTGTTCTAGGCTTCAGTGGAAGCAGAGTTTCACCGAAGGCCAAACTTCTTGACTAATGGCCAATCAGCAAGCAGAAGGGAGGGCAAGCTGGGTGTTTGTGTCACGGTCGGTTGTGCAGGGGTGGGGGTGGGAGAGGCTCCGGTAGCAGACAGTAAATCGGGAGAGTCAGCTCAGCGCTGCCTGCCAGGCCCTCCGGGCCTCTCAGCGAAGCACCGTCGGGCAGCAGGCTGAATCAATGGTTAAGGCAGCGGGGGCTCGCCCCAGTGCAGGCTCCTGGAAAGCAGCTGGTTTCATCACAGACATCCACAGATGCCTTACTTGACAAGGCTCGTTTTGTTTTTGTTTTGCTTGGTGCTCCTCGTGGAGAGCAGAAAGCCCAGAAGGAAGAGATGGACAGGGCAGCTGGAATCACCCAGGTCAAGGTAAGGTCATGGGCAGGAGTGGAGGGAGGTCACTGTGCAGCAGGTGCACGGTGGCGGGAGAGCCCCCGACGAGGGCTGGGGGTCCTGTAGAATCCAGGTCCTGTACTGAGCTGGCCACACACACTCTGTGTTAAGCGCTGAGGACAGAGCTCAAACTCTGATGCCTGGGCTCAGCTGTTGTATTTTGCTTTAAGGCAGAGAGTTGGTGCCTCACTCGGGAGAAATCTTTCTACCCCTCTACTGTGTGACTTTGTGGCTCAGGATTCCCATGGATGGCTTGCTAGATAATTCCACCCAAGCATTTGGGAGAAACTGCATACGGGAACTAATCTAAACCGTTAAGAAAAAATATATAATCAGGAATTGTCTTCTATAAATTGTTTGGTAGGTGATCACTCTGTAATAGTGTTGGGTTTCATTTTGCCAATTGGAATCTTAGAAAAGGCATTTGGAATTTGCTACAGTTTTCAGGGATATACATGTAGACAACAGTGAATGCCACCTCATGATGTAATGGAGACGTTCCTAAGAAATACCGGTTAGGCCCAAAATTTGCATTCAGGATCATTACATTACAAATCTAAGTTCCTCGGTAAGTGTGTGTTGCGCTGATGTAGAAGTGTGATACTCCAGGATGGAGGGAGACATAGGAGCAGTGAAGCTTGACGATGAGGAAAGAACAGTGGCTGCGACACAAACACCTTATGTGGGCTGTTGCACATCTCTTCCATTTTGGACAAGTTACCAGTGGATTTGAATATAAACTCAGATCTTCTGGTGCATTTTCTAGGTCAGTGGTCTCCAAATCTTTTTTTAAAATTTATTTTAAATTTGAAAGGCAAAGGGAGAGAGGGAGAGAAGGGGGGCGGGCAGAGGAAGGGTAGCTCTGGTTTTCTCCCCAAATGCCCACAAGAGCTGAGACTGGGCTAGGCTGAAGCCAAGAGCCAGGAACTCTATGGGTCTCCCAGTGGGTGGCAGGGATCCAAGGACTTGAATCACAACCTGTTACTGCCCAGGGTGTCCATTAGCAGGAAGCTGGAATTGAGAGTGAAGCCAAGGCTTGAACCCAGATAGTCCGATATGGGATGCAGGAGTCCCGAGTGGTTGCTTATCCTGCCCTAAATAGTTTTTATCATGCACTGCTATCAGTGGCAATTTTTGAAAAATATATATTTAAATACAGATTATATACCTGTACTATTATAAATATGTACATTAAAGCTTGATGCCTTCCATATCTTTAGAAAACAATAATGATAGGGCCTGACGTTGTGGCACAGTGGGTAAAGCTGTCCCTGCAACGCTGCCATCCCAAATGGACACTGGTTCACATACCGGCTGCTGCACTTCTGATCCAGTTCCCTGCTCATGCACCTGGGAAAAGCAGCGGAAGACGGCCCCTGCCACCCACACAGGAGACCCGGATGAAGCTCCTGGCTCCTGGCTCTGGTCTGACCCAGCATTAGCTGTTGGGGCCATCTGGGGAGTAAGCCAGCAGGTCGAAGATCTCCCTCTCTCTGTAAATCTTTCAAAATGAATGTCTTTTTAAAAAAATGGAAAACACTAAAGATAAATAATAGTTACACTCTCTGCTGCTCAGACTGCAGTGGCGATTACAGCTCAGGGAGATGCGGGATACTCACTGGGGCCGAGTCCTACTCGGCCGAAAACAGCAGAGCAGAGTCCTCCAGTAGGTTGGGGCAGAGCCCTGCTCTGGAAGGCTTATTCTCACTTACGTCCCCAGAACCGTGGGCTGTTGAACAGACAGGGACCTCAGAGGCCGTCTGGTCCAGCTCTGATTCTGCGATAGGTGAATAGGCAGTGTGTGGAGTTGGGTTCCAGTGTCAAAGAGGGTCAGGAAACCCTGGATGTGATCATTTTCCAGAGATGTTTTCAGACAGAATGTCTAGCAGCTTTATGAGATAAGCGGGCACCGTGAATCTTAGAGAGAGGACTAAATCACACAGTGCTTCTCAGAACAAGTACCAACAACAACTCCACGGTCTCCTTTGGACCGTCTTGTGCGACCAGGCACATGCTGGACAGCTCTCTCCATAGGCTCTTTGTCCAGGTGCAGATGGATGCGGTGGCTCAGAGGCAGGAGTGATTCCCGGTGCTTGCAAGGGGCTCCACAGGGCTGGAACCAAGGTCTTCGATCTACTCAGGCTGGAGAGGAAGCATTGCTTGCAATGTTTTAATGTCCCTCCCCTAAGAATGGTGCAGGCATTGGCAGGAACCCACTGGGGATCCCCAGAGAGCCAGCTGGGCAGCCCGGTGCCGGCACAGCATCTGCATAGCATCTCCCCGGACAGCCCCACGAGCCTGGGGACAGAGTAAACCTGACTCTTAGGGATAGGGAAAATTTCTTTAAAACTTATGTGGGAAGAGAAGAACATGTACAAATTAAAAATTAGTTTTGCATCGACCATGGGGGAAAAGGATAGGGCACCCGGTTCTCAGCTGTGTGCATGTACAAGGCATGCACACGGCCAGACAGCCACGGAGCTGTGTCCCAGAAATGCTTCAGTCAAGCCCGGGACAGTTCACCCCCGAAACCAGCTCTGTTAGTAGACAGGTACAAAATGACCCAACCTGTTCTGAGTGCAGCCGGACGGCACCTGCTCTCTGCAGGTCAGCTCCTTCCTTACAGGTCTCAGTGACACGCAAACTCTACAGTCACACCCTGCATGTGGTCTCCCGCTCACACACCGTGACCACGCCTTCTAGCCTGGCAGCCCTCTCTTGCATCGCGCTGACTGAGGCACTCACGTCATACACGCGTTCTGGCCCTTGACTGCTCTCTCAAAGCTGGCTGCTGCTCTGCTGACCCTGTGTGTCCCCAGTGAGCCTGCCATCGGCTTTGTACCACCCCCTCTACCCCTGCCCCAGATGGCCTCCTGACTCCGTAATCGCCACCCCCTCCTGCCCTCGCAGGCTCTTCTCCCCCGATCTGAAATATAAACCGAACTCTGGGCCCTGGGAGACTGGGCTGTCTGGATAATCCCAATGTCCCTGGGGGTCTGCGAGCCTGGAGCTCCTCTGCCTGTTTTCCCCTCCACGTTGGCAGCCTCTGGGGACCGCATGCCCAAGCCATCCTCCTCCTGGTTTGCAGGACCCAGGAGCAGCTCTGCCCTCCTACCCCCTACCTCCTGCAGCCCTTACCCTTCACGGAGTAGCTTAGGGAAAGAGAAGCAGTTGAGAGGTCAGAAAGTAGGGCTAGACCCTAGAGCTGCCCCTGTCTGGCAGTGCAGCTGTGGGCCCTCATCTCTCTGAACCCCACTTTCTCCAGGGAGGTGGTGAAACCCTCCCTGCTGGGAGCGTGTGGGGTGAGTGTGAAGTCTGCAGCTCAGGGTCTCCGCGGAGAGACGTGGTGCACTTGGACGTGGTTAGTGCCATTGCTATCATGCCCAGTAAGCCACACCACAGTGCAGCGGACACATTTCGCTTCTTTCTTCACCTCCCCACCCCCCCTCAAAGACTGGGACCGAGCGCCCATGAAGGTGGCTGCCCTGCTGTGTGGTGGGGCTCAGGAGTCTGGGTTCTGGGGCTGAGACCAGCGGGGCAGTGCCCAGCCATCTCCTGGGCGAAGATGAAGCTCATGCAAATAGCCTGAGGCTCAGGCTCTTAGTGGCAAGAGTTACCACACAGCTGGCTCCTTTTAAGAAAAACCCACCACCCTGAGGCCTCAGCAGTGGCAGGATTGAAACCTCCTGTCTCTTGCTGGGCGGTGGCATCCTGGGACTTCCGGTCCCCTAATCCTCCCCTAAATGGATGTGGAAACTCTGCTGATGGGGGAGGGATTTGCTCCCCACGAGGCAGAGGGGCAGCGAGCTGCTGCTCTCACAATTTAATGTCTATGATCTGCTAAGCCCTGGGCTGAGCTCTTCATCCGCCTTCTGGGCGTCTCAGCTGCTGCGCTGGGACCTGGCCCCTCACGCCCTCACTGCTGAGAAACAGGCTTGGCTCACCTGGCTCCTGGAGGCCAGCGAGCAGGCAAGCTCCTGAGAAGGCTCCAAGCCGTATTCCTGCCTGCTTCCTGGGGACCAGGCTTCAGCCCCCTATCACAGCCTAGAGCTGGGAGGAAGTTCGTGGTAGTCAGCTTTTCGTCCCTGTAGCAAACGCCCTAGAGAAGCTACTTGGGAAGCTCACAGTTCTGGAGAGTCATGGTGCAAGATCGGTTTGGCTTCTGGTGACACCGGGGAGTGTGCCAATGTGTGGAGGATCACATGGGGAGCCAGCAAGCAGGGAGAACAGATGAGTCCAACTCCACCTCCACTTTCATAATCACCCCTCTCCCAGAAACTTCCTTCCAAAGGTACCCAGCACCTGCACATCGACCTAAGAGCCCCCCCTTCCCCCACCAGGCCTCTCTGAAAAACCAACAGACTTCCCACCTTCTTCTTCTTCTTCTTTTTTTTTTTTTTTTTTTGACAGGCAGAGTGGACAGTGAGAGAGAGAGACAGAGAGAAAGGTCTTCCTTTGCCATTGGTTCACCCTCCAATGGCCACCACGGCCAGCGCGCTGCAGCCGGTGTACCGCGCTGATCTGATGGCAGGAGCCAGGTACTTCTCCTGGTCTCCCATGGGGTGCAGGGCCCAAGCACTTGGGCCATCCTCCACTGCCTTCCTGAGCCACAGCAGAGAGCTGGCCTGGAAGAGGGGCAACCAGGACAGAATCCGGCACCCTGACCAGGACTAGAACCCGGTGTGCCGGCGCCGCAAGGCAGAGGATTAGCCTAGTGAGCTTCGGCGCCGGCCCCCACCTTCTTTGTACCATCAACATAGGACTTTGGTGCTTAAATGTCCACAGGCCTCTGCTCCTGGGCACGTGCAGCTACAAAGGGTTTGTCCAAAAGCAAATCCGGTCAGGGCTTCCCTCTCCAGCTGCCTCACGCCTTCCATGGTTTTCCCATTGCCTTTTTTTTTTTTTTTTAAAGATTTATTTATTTATCTGAAAGTCGGAGTTAAAAGAGAGAAAAGGAGAGGCAGAGAGAGGGAGAG